CACGGCGAGGAGCTGCTGGCGACGGAGCGCGACTTCAGCCGGCGCGGCCGCGTCAACTACATGCTCGGCCGGAGGCTCGAGCTGCTCGCGCGCGTCGAGGCGCTCGCAAAGTCGCTCGACGTGCCCGCCGACGTTGGCTACACCTGCGAGACGGCGGGCTACTTCTTCAAGGCGACGGTCGCGCCGCGGTGGGAGGCGTTCGAGGCGGAGGCGCGGCGCGCGGGCGACGAGGAGGGGGCCGTCGAGCGCCACTTCCCCTTCTCCGACTTCTTCGCCGACACGCCCTCGCCGCTGTTTGCGCCCGCCGCCAGCGGCGCGGCGCACCTCGACGCGGCGCGCGGCGCGTGGCGGCACGTGGTGGCCCTCTTCGAGGAGATCGAGGAGTGCCGCGCCTTCGAGCTGTGAACAGCGTCTCCTCACACCTCCTGCTGTGAACAGGAGCTCGAGGAGTGCCGCGCCTTCGAGCTGCTCCGCTCCTCGTACGACCGCGGAAACTACCTGCTCACCAAGCACGCAAAGGCGGTGGCGGTGGCGGGGAGGGCGACTCTCGGCTGCTCTCTCGGCTGACGTCGGCGACTCTCTGCCGCAGGTGGTCGCGATGACGTGCACGCACGCCGCCATCAAGCGCAAGGATTTGGTGAGCCTCGCGTTCCAGTACGACAACCTGGTCATGGAGGAGGCGGCGCAGATCATGGAGGTGGGAGGCCTCTCCTCTTGGGTGCTGCCGTGCGCTGCGCCTCTTCACGCGCCTCCTTGCGGCGACAGGTCGAGGCCTTCATCCCGATGGTGCTGCAAAACCCGGACACCGCCACGGGCAAGTCGCGCCTCAAGCGGGTGCTGCTCATCGGCGACCACCACCAGCTGCCGCCCGTCGTCAAGAACCTCGCCTTCCAAAAGTACTCGCGCCTCGACCAGTCGCTCTTCGCGCGGCTCGTGCGGCTCGGCGTGCCCGCGACGCAGCTCGATTTCCAGGGCCGCGCGCGCCCCGCGATCGCCAACCTCTACCGCTGGCGCTACACCTCGCTCGGCGACCTGCCCGGCGTGCTCGCGCCGGACGGGCCGCACGCGCTCGCCGTGCCGGGCTTCCGGCACGACTTTCAGCTCGTGCACGTCGCCGACCCGCAGGGGGTGGGCGAGTCGACCCCTCTGCCGCACTACGTCCAGGTGGACGCTTCCGAGGACACACTTCCGAGACACTCGCACCTCGAGACTCTGCCCAGCGCGCCCTCGCACACTCTCCTTCGAGCCGCCTCGAGCTCTGGCTCTGGCCACTGTAGC